TAAAAAAATTTAATCCGATATCTCAAATTTTCTGAAAGTTACAGCGTGTACAGACATTTCTCAAAAAATTCAAAATTTTATAAAAAATGAACCCTTTTACCGATACTCACCAAATTCAGTTCCAACCATCCTTTAATAATACTCTATCCATGTAAAATAATTTAATCCGATATCTCAAACTTTACGAAAGTTACAGCGTGTACAGACATTTCTCAAAAAATTCAAAATTTTATAAAAAATGAATCTGTTCATCGATAATCACCAAATTCAATACCAACCATCCTTGAATGATACTCTATCCATGTAAAATAATTTAATCCGATATCTCAAACTTTACGAAAGTTACAGCGTGTACAGACATTTCTCAAAAAAGTCAAAATTTTATAAAAAATGAATCTGTTCATCGATAATCACCAAATTCAATACCAACCATCCTTGAATGATACTCTATCCATGTAAAAAAAATTTAACCCGATATCTCAAAAATTGCGGAAGTTAGAGGTTGTACAATATATTGCGTACATACATCATACACACATACACACATACACACATACATACATCCATACATGCATACAGACATTTTTTAGGAATATGATTTTTCGACGTTTTGGAACATTCTAAACACAATGGCATAGAAAACCCGAAAAAAAATTTTGTCACGAAAACAAAGCTTCCTCTATGAGGAAGCAATAGTTTATTTAAAATTAAAGAAGAGGTAGAATAAGCAAAAGACAGAGAGGGAGAGATAGAGAGAGAGAGAGAGAGAGAGAGAGTTAAAGTTAAAGAAGAGGAAGTATAAGCAAAAGAGAAGGAAAGAGAGAGAAAGGGACAGAAGGAAAAAAGGAGTATAAATATAATATCAGGTAATAATATTGTTCAGTATTATTAACTATATTGTTATATATTATTAAGAAATATTATTAAAAATTATTAAAATTATCTAATTTATTTAATTTTAAGCGAGAGAGAGGAAAAGAGAAAGAAAAAGCGAAGGCAAAGAAAGGATAGTTTATTTAAAATTAAAGAAGAGGAAAATTTTTACAAGAGTTCTAACTCTAGTAATAATAAAATGTTTGTGAAAGAATGTTGGCAATGTGGAGGCTCAGGTCATTTTCGAGCGGAGTGTCCGTTTTTAAAGAAAGGGGAAAACTGAATTTTGTCGAGCTGTTTGGGGCAGGTTCGATGCGAGAACGTGAAGCCCCAATAAAATTACAGAGTTATTGTTGTAATTGTAAAAATGTTAGTAATAATACTGGCACTAATAATAAGAAATTATTTAATTTTAAAGGATTTATCGATGAACAGTTATGTAATTTTAAAATTGATACGGGTTCGGATGTGTCTCTTATCAGGAGTAATTTTGTTAGAATGCCTAGGCGGCGGATTCCTCTTGATAATTCTTTTCATTTGAAATATCCCACAGGGGAAGAAGTTCCCGTAAAATTTAAGGTAATCGTGATAATTAGCTTGGGAAGATGTTCTGTAGAATTTCCGGTTTTTGTCGCTGATATAGCTGTGGATTGTTTATTGGGGAATGATTTTCTGTCCATTGTTAATTTGGA